TATTTTAATTAAGAGATGAAGAAGACGTACGGTGCAGAGGTTTTTTTTGGCCAAAGAAGGAGTGGAGTTAATTTTAGAGACAAGGTACAATGTAAATAAAGGAGAGAAATGAATTAATAAATACATAATACTATGTTAAGTTAAAAAAAATGTGATATTAACTATAAAAGATATAAAAATAAATTTATTTTTTTAATTGTATATTAAGAGATAATTTATTTTTATCTTTTAACTCACTTTACTTAAATATCATATAATTTAAAATCAAAATCTTTTATTTTTATTAAAAAAATTATCACTAAAATATTTAAATTATTGAAAATACATTCACTGTTGTTGAATTGAAGGAGACATAATATTTTTTAGTAGGCTTACATAATACTCAAAAAGTGAATAATTAAGAACTAAGGTGCAACCATGCATGCGTGACTAGCCAAAATAATTAAAGTGAATCGCAGCGGCTACGTGACGGAGACGGTAAATTTTACTCTCCAAAAATTCCAAAAGTTAAGGGCCAAAACCTTTAAGTTATAAAGTAAAGTGTTAAAAGTTTCATATTCAATAAGGTTAAGGACTTTACATAGATTTTTTTTTTTGGCTATAAATACCTCCTGCAAATCCAACTCTTTTTTGGTGATCAAAGAGACTGGGAACCATGTTGAAGGTCAAGATCTGCCGCGCCGAGAACCTCAAATACATATGGCGCGGGACTCCGTTCCGACCGCGTGCCACCGCTTACGTAGACCGCAATAAAAAATTCTCAACCAAGGTCGACGAAAAGAGGGACAGATGCCCCATCTGGGACGAGACTCTGAAAATCCCCTTGGACGGACCCATCGACGATGATACCACCCTCTGCGTTGTCATCTTCGACGCTCGCGAAAGGGGGGCCAAGAAGCGAATTGGCTCTGCAAGTCTCAAACTGAAGGAAGTAATAAACGAGGTTGGATACGATCACCTTGCCAAACGAACTCTGAAATTGAAGCGGATCTTTGGCAGGTCCCGCGGGGAGGTGGTTGTTGAGGTTTCGATTGAACGGCCTGGCGCTAACCAATTTGGAAAGAGATTGATTCGTGGTCTGCTGATTGCCGCAGCTCTTACATACAAGATAGTTTATGGCCTG